TTATCACTTCTTTTCTCTCTCACATCAATCACTTCACACACTCTACTTATCTCTTAACACCCGATAAAATTTACACAGTATCCGGAATTTAACCTAATTGACCGAATTTTTTCGAACTTTTCGCACTAGTGGGTCCCACGTCCAGTATATATTCTTAATTTTCTAAAAACTCACCAATACTAGAAAAATCATCTAAAAACTATAATTGCTCATAAAATCAACCCAGAAAATGTTTCTAAGCCAGAAAATGCAAAAATTATGCAATTAAGGGAACTAAAACCCTAGGAAAATTTTTAGGGTATTTACGGGTTCTCACAGTCTTCAGGCTACTCTCCGAGATCAAGGAGTCCGGATCCGAGAGTTGGAGGCTGCGGTTCTGGAGGAACAGCAGCGGACAGATGCCTACCGCGAGCAGGCTCAGGCGACGACTGGACGTCTGATGCGAGTAGTTGGGGATATATGAGACCGGACCGACCACATCCTGACCGAGTGCGAGGCACTTGTAGATGATGTGCTACAGGACTTGGCCGAGGAGGGTCAAGCGCCTGTAGTTCCTGAGGTTCCTAGTACTCCTGAGGAGGCTCCGGATAAGGATCCTGAGGAGGACCCAGAGGAGGAGCTGAGTGCATCCTCGGAGTCGGTTGGGTCGGCGTCTAGCCGAGCGACTTTTTAGGATTGTAGTTTGAGGAGATTTTTGGAGGATAGTTAGGAACATAGTGGGACGGCACGTCTTCTTTTGTTTTGACTTTGACGTGTCATGGTGGATGTAAATAGGGTTTCTTTTGTTCTATGTTCCTTGGCTGTTATAGCCTCTGACTTGCTGTGGTTGACATGTATATATGACTTGTTTGCTATGTGTATAAAGTACTTGTTTATTATGTGCTCTAATGCCTTTAATTATCCTTCGGCAACATGTTACACGAGCCATACCTTATTTTGTTTATATATTTATAGTTGGTTAAATCCAAAACATGGAGGGTAGAAGAAGTCAAACCAGGGGAACTAACCGAGGACGCGGTCCTAGTCGAGGCCATGGGGATAGACGCGCACAAGAACCTATGCAAGAACTGAGAGAAGAGAGAGAGGCAATGATTGAGTCACAACCTGAACCCCAAGCTGCAGGGAGATATCAACTGGCAACTGCTATCCAGCAAATGACCAATATTTTGGCCCGTTTAGTGGAACAACAGGGTCAATTCCCTGTAAATCAACCTAGGGATCCCGATATGGGACAAGATAGAGTTTTAGAGAGATTCCAGAAGTTCTCTCCACCCAAATTCTTAGGAGGGCGGGACCCGGATGGGGCCGAGAAATAGCTGGAGGCCATGATAAATATTTTTGCTGCTCTAAACTATACAGAGGATTCAATTTGCTGTTTTCCAGTTCGAGGGGCTAGCTAGGGCTTGGTGGAACGTAGTGAGGGCCAAGTGGGAGAGAGAGGCGACTGCATGGACCTGGTTAAACTTCGTACGGGAGTTTAACGAAAAATACCTTCCACCCATCATCCAGGAGAAGCGAGAGGACGATTTCATTAAACTCCGCCAGGGAATGTTAAGTGTAACTGAGTATGAGACACAGTTTATGAAACTGTCAAAATTTGCTCCTGAGCTAATTGCTACAGAACCAAGAAAAGTACGGAGGTTTGTGTAAGGGCTAAATGTGAAATTACAAGAAGCCTTAGCGGCATCCCAAATTAATACGTTTACGGAGGTCCTGGAGAAGGCCTAAAGGATAGAGACTGCTAGGGCACACGTGAGGAATTTCCACGCCAAACGAAATGGGGATCTAGTGGAGCCCAAGGGTCAATGCGGAGTGATCAAAACGTACCACCTGCCACACCTGCCAAGTCCGGTTGTGGAGCTGGAGGTGGACGGTTTTCGAGTGCGTCTAGGGGAGGTGCTCCGATAGGAGGTACTCAGAGAGGAGGTGCCCAGAGGGGAGGCCAAAGTGGTAGAGGACAAGGTAGAGGAATTCCACAGGGAGGTCAGACCTCTACTCCCCGAGTAACATGCGAATATTGTGGAAAACCGAACCATACTAAGAATGAATGTTGGAGAAAGGCTCGGAAGTGCCTAAGGTGTGGAAGTACGGAGCACCAGATAGTCAACTGCCCGTTGATAAGTGATACCCAGTCGACTGTCAAGTCAAACCCAAGGCCGACCAATGTTGGAGGGGCTAGGTCGAGGGTTTCGACCAGAGTATATTCACTGGACCAACAATCCGTGCCTGAACCAACGGAGGTGGTAGAAGGTACGATCCCTGTTTTTCACCGGTTAGCAAAAATTTTGATAGACCCCGGTGCTACTCACTCTTTTGTTAATCCTGCATTTATGCTTGGAATTGACCTGAAAGTTGAAAGATTACCTTATGACTTAGAAGTAAGAACCCCTACAGGTAATCAAATTTTGCTTGCGAATGAGGTGCTTAAGAAGTGTGTTATTTGGGTTGGTGAACGAAAATTGGTAGTTGACCTCATTAGTCTAGCCATTAAAGGGTATGATGCCATTCTCGGAATGGATTGGCTAACTCATTATCATGCTCGGGTAGATTGTAGGATGAAAGTGGTAGAGTTTTGCATTCCGGGTGAGGCAACCTTGAAGTTAGACGTGAGGGGTATGTTAGCCTCTTCTGCCCTCATTTCGGGAATAAGAGTTAGGAAATTGTTTAGTCGTGGGGCACACGGTTACTTAGCTTTTCTAATTAACACTCCGGGAGAAAAGATTAAGTTGGAAGACATGCCGGTAATCAGTGAATACCCGGACGTATTTCCAGAGGAGTTGGAGTCTCTGTCGCCCGAAAGGGAGATTGAATTTAAAGTTGACCTAGTACCCGGAACTACTCCTATTTCAAAAACCCCTTATCGTATGGCACCTGCTGAGCTTAAGGAGTTAAAGGTGCAATTGCAGGACATGCTAGAACGGGGGTTCATACATGAGAGCGAGTCGCCGTAGGGAGCTCCAGTATTATTTGTTAAAAAGAAGGACGGAAGTTTAAGGTTATACATTGACTATCGAGGGCTAAACGCAGTAACTGTTAAGAATAAATATCCTTTGCCCCACATCGATGAGTTGTTCAATTAGTTACAAGGGGCTGTGGTATTTTCTAAGTTGGATCTGCGACAAGGGTACTATCAATTGAGAATTAGGAAGGAGGATGTGCCAAAAACGGCGTTTAACACTCGATATAGGCATTTTGAGTTTGTGGTAATGCCTTTTGGCTTAACCAATGCCCCAATGGCATTCATGGATTTAATGCATCGAGTGTTCAAATCTTACTTGGATAGGTTTGTAGTGGTGTTCATTGATGATATCCTGGTATATTCGAAATCAAGGGAGGAGCATGAACAACACTTGCGGATAGTGCTGCAAACCCTAAGAGAGCACCAACTGTTCGCTAAGTTCAGTAAGTGTGAATTTTGGCTAGAAAAAGTGGCGTTTCTAGGTCACATAATTTCAAAAGATGGCCTTGCTGTAGACCCGACGAAAGTGGAAGCTGTGGCCAAATGGAAGCGGCCAGAAAATTCCACGGAGGTGCGAAGTTTTCTAGGTCTGGCAGGGTACTACCGCCGATTTATAAAGAACTTCTCGAGAATTGCGGGACCTTTGACTAACTTGACCAAGAAACAAGAAAAGTATATTTGGGATGTTAAGTGCGAAAGTAGTTTCCACGAGTTTAAGAAGCAGTTAACTATGGCTCCAGTTTTAGCTTTGTCCAATGGGAACGATAGCTACACGGTTTATACCGATGCTTCAAAAGAAGGGCTAGGGTGCGTGTTGATGCAAAATAGGAATGTGATTGCCTATGCATCTCGGAAGTTAAAAGCTCATGAGCAGAATTATCCGACCCATGACTTGGAGCTTGCAGCTGTAGTGTTCGCTTTGAAGAAATGGAGACATTATCTCTATGGTATAACTTTTGAGGTTTATACGGATCATAAGAGTGTTAAGTATCTGTTTTCTCAGAATGAGCTAAATCTAAGACAACGTCGGTGGGTAGAGTTCTTAAAAGATTATGATTGTACAATTAACTACCATCCTGGAAAAACCAACGTTGTAACAGATGCTTTAAGCCGAAAGGTTCAACTAGCAAGTTCCATAGTGGGAGAGTGGAGCCTGTTGGAAGATGTCTGTGAGTGGAAATTTCGTCTGCAACCGGAAAAGGTGATTTTTGGAAATATTGAAGTGAAGTCGACACTGTTGGATCAGATTAAAGAGGGCCAAGCAAAGGACACAATGGTGCAAAAATGGGTGGAAAAAGTGAAGAAAGGAGAGTTGCCTAACTTTAACATAGGTCCTGATGGAATCTTAAAATTTCGAAATCATGTCGTTGTACCTAAGGATGAGGAATTAAAGAGGGAGATTTTGGAGGAATCACACCGCTCTAGGTATACGGTGCACCCAGGGAATAATAAGATGTACCAAGATCTTAAAAGTCTGTATTGGTGGGAGAACATGAAGGCGGAGGTTGCCCAATTTGTACAAAAGTGTCTCACGTGCCAACAAGTGAAGGCTGACCATAAAAAACCATCAGGTTTGTTACAGCCTTTAGAGATCCCTGAATGGAAATGGGAACACATAACGATGAATTTTGTATCAGGGTTGCCACGAACACAAAATGGGCATGATGCAATTTGGGTAATAGTGGACCGATTAACTAAGACTGCACATTTTCTGCCAGTAAACATGAAATATCCTTTGGAAAAACTTGCTAAACTTTATATGGATGAGGTAGTGAGACTACATGGGGTACCGGTGAGTATTGTATCGGATAGAGACCCCAGGTTTGTATCTCGATTTTGGCAGAAATTGCATGAGACTCTAGGAACTAAGTTGAACTATAGTACAGTGTATCATCCACAAACTGATGGACAATCTAAGAGAACCATCCAAACTCTTGAGGATATGCTGAGAGCCTGTATTGTGGATTTTGGAGGAGGTTGGAGTCAATATTTAACCTTGGTTGAATTCGCTTATAACAATAGTTATCATTTCTCTATTCAAATGGCCCCATATGAAGCCTTGTATGGACAACGATGTCGATCTCCAATCCATTGGGAGGAAGTAGGAGAAAGAAAGATTATAGATCCGGCTACAATACCATGGGTTGAGAAAGCCTACGAGAAGGTAAAGGTGATCCGCCAGAGACTTCAAACAACCCAAAGCCGACAGAAAAGTTATGCCGATCATCGGAGAAAGGATTTGGAATTTGAGATAGGGGATAAAGTGTTTCTTCGGATTTACCCCATTGAAGGGAAAGATCAGAGCAGGAAAAGGGAAAAAGTTGCAACCACGATATATAGAACCTTTCAATGTACTTCAGCAAATAGGAAAGGTGGCTTACCGACTTGAGTTACCAGCTAGTTTGTCTAGGATCCATGACGTTTTCCATGTTTCTTTGCTTAAGAAATACCATCCAGATCCGACTCACATTTTGCCACCTGAAGATGTTGAACTTGACGAGTCCTCAACCTATGAGGAACGACCTATTCAAATACTGGATCGGAAGGTGAAGGATCTGAGAAATAAGCAGATTCCTTTGGTAAAGGTTCTATGGAAGTATCATGAAGTGGAAGAAGCAACTTGGGAGCTAGAAAGGACATGCAAGAAAAATATCCCGACCTGTTCACGACGAAATGTATGAATTTCGAGGTCGAAATTCTTTTAAGGGGGAGAGAGTGTGAGAACTCGCAAATCTCTTATATTTTTCTCAAAAATGCCTTTTATTTGAAAATTATTATTTATTAAAGACCTACCACCCAATCGTTCCACAATAAGTGCAAATAAACCTAAAAAGTAGGGTTTCACTTTTGGTTTCAAGATTGGAGCAAAATTAGGGTTTTCGCGATTTTTCGCCGGATGAATTTTCTGTACGGAGCAAGGATCAAATTTGGTGATTAAAAGTGACTTTTAAGTGAGAAATAATATGTGATTAGGGGCAATGAGGTAAGGTTAGTGAATAGGAACAAAAAAAACCCTAGTACATGTGTTTTAAAGAAACACGGTGCGAACCGACGTGTACCGTGCACTACCGATTGAACACACCACTTGATCACCACTTTCTTACCATACAAGCTCATTACTAATTGAGCAAAATATCTTCCCCCTCATGGCTATCTCTTGGCCAAAAATTGGGACAAAAAAAAAGCAAGAAAAGAGAAAAAAATTTTGTGGTTGAGCTTGAGCCAAGTGTTGGCAAACTTATGGCCTAAATTCATCATAATATTCTTGTCTTCTTAACACCATAAGAGCAGCCTTTCTTCTTCATTTTTTTCTACTCTTGGCCGAGAATAGAGAGAGAGAAAGGGAGAGCAAGAGTTGCACCATTTTCTTCTTGAGTTACACCAACCAAGTGAGATATGGTCATTTGAATGCAGTACGGTTGATTAGCCGAATAGTTGAAACCAGATTATATGAATTGGGAATTTGATTAGGTTACACTGAAAATTAGACTAAGTACTCTTCATGAACATTGTAGCCCTGTGTCTTAGCTTCGAAATGGTATAAGTTACGCCTCAATCCGATAAACGTAACCTCGGATGTGTTCTTTCCGCAACCACACGTCAAATCTGTCTTTTGCTAGGTTACATTTCCGCACTTGTTATCACTTTGATTTTTGTTCTTATGTGTTATGAGCCTATGGAACGGCTATTTACTTGAATCTATGATATGTATGACTTTGGGATTGGCTGAGGAAAATAATGAAGCCATAAATGGCTGAAAAATTTGGTAAACACAAAGGGCATGCTGCCCAAATTTACGCTCGAGGACTAGAAAACGATACTTGCAACTTGAGTAAAGGTTAAAAGTGATTATCACTTGAACTATCGAGGATCTTGGATACTTTGGTTATCGAGGGTTATACGTTAGGATTTGGCTGAACTCGTACTCTTAGGAAAACGATATGAATCACTATGAAACCGTTTTACTTGCACTTTTGACTTAAAAGTTATCTCCAAACAAACATGTTATCAAATTTTTCAGTTTGAAAAGCGAGCAACTATTTCACGACTACTTTTCAAGTGAATTTCAATTTCTTGATTCTTATTGAACGAAACGCTTAAGTTTCGAATCTTAGTTGATTTTCAAAGTTCTCAAGTTAAGTTTTATCGCAGATTTGGACTCCAAACCCGGAGTACCACCCAGACACGAGCACTAGAGGCACTATTTTGGTGAGTGCTTCCAAATATCTGATTGAACTCGATATTTGCCATTTATCTTTGATCAACGTGAATACGTGATATATATATGTGATTTTATAGGGCAAGGGTGTACTTTATCGCACTTGCTCTATCCAAATTTGTTCTTGTTTATCGACTTTACTTGACTTGCTCTACATGAACACGAATTATATTATGCCTGGAATTCCAGAAACCCTGTGGCTAGTTAATCGAGTCGAACCGGCAAGGGTGTGGTCGATTAGATAACAAACTCTGGGTCACTAGTAAGGTTGAGTGGAGGGTTATCTCCTCGGCAATTCGGTATATTCGAGTATTACCACCCGTTTTTCGTGTGGCGTGCGGGCCCGGAAAAGGGGGTGATTGGTGGACGGAGATTGGCGAGAAGTGGAGTTTTCTTTCTGGACTAATTATTATTTGAAAGTTGACGGAGTGTCAACTACTATTCGATCAAGCTGGGATGGAGCCGAGACATGAGCAACTGTATCCTTACTTGTGAACATGATCCACACATTTCTTGACTACTTGAAGTATTATCTCTTTACTTGTACTTGTTTGCTCGCTATTTCACTATTACCTTGTTTGCTGGACAATTTGATATCTGGAACATCACTGAGCTCTGGCTCACCCTATTAGTTTTGTTTTCCTTACAGGGGTACGAGTGACGCGTGAGACGTGTAAAGACTAGCGTAGTCTAGTTATTTTGATTTTTGACTTGTACTCGCGCTATTCCTCGAATAGAATGTTTTGTTATGGGATTGTATATACTTTGAACCGTTTGGATATATTGAGGCTTTGTACCTTGATTTGGTATCAATATAAATTATAAGTTTTAATTGCGATGTTATTTATGGTACATGGATGTATGTACGTGATTCGAGTGAGTGAGTCTTGGCGAGAGCTGGACAGGCGACCCGTCGAACCCTCTGGTACGCCTTAGGGGGAGATGGGGTCGTCACAGGCATGGGTGTGTTAAATTTTTGCATATGGGTATAAATGGGTATTATTGGATAACCCATCAAATCCAATTAACTCATTTAGAATTGTTTTCTCCCAAACCTTCTCTCTTCCCCCACCCATTAACTTGCTCATTTTTCACAATTACCAATTTATGACAAGGTTTAGCCTCTTTTCTTATTTTTTCAAAATAAAAATTTAAATTTACACACGAAAAAATGCTAGAGGTTCAAAATTTTTGGATTAAGTTTTTATGTTAACTTTTATCGTATTTAGTTCAAATTTTTATATTCTTATTATTTAATTATTAAATAGTATGTAATTTTGCGACATAGAGTACATATGGGAAAATTTGATAATTAGGTTTATTGAACATTATAAATAAATATTTAAGACTAATGATGGGTGCAAAGGATGGTATAAATTGATAACTTAGTTTGTAAAAATAAAATTAAATAAATTTACAAAAAATTAATATAAATGGGTTATAAATAAGTAATTGGGTTACCCAATTCATTTTTTGATTTACCCATTTATACCATCTAATTAAATGGGTATAAATGGGTTGACTTACTTATACCTATTACCCATTTTACCCAACCCAAACTTGCCCAAATCACCCATTGTGACACCTCTACTCCTAGTTCTGGCAACTGAGGTTTCTTCTTCTCTTCTTTAAACAACTTGTTAGCTTATTTGTGAGCTAGATCTTGGAAGAAAACTAACACTTACCTAGAGGTGTCAAAATGGGTGATTTGGGTGGATTTGAATTAGTTAAAATGGGTAATGGGTATAAGTGAATTAATCTATTTATACCCATTTAATTAGATAAGTATAAATGGGTAAGTCAAAAAATGAATTGGGTAATCCAATTACCCATTTATAGCCCATTTATTTTAACTTTTTGTAAACTCATTTAAATTCATTTTTGCAAACTAAGTTATCAATTTATACCACCCTTTGCGCCCATCATTAATTTTAAATATTTACTTATAATGTTCAATAAGTCTAATTACCAATTTTTTTGCCATCCGTACTTTATGTTGCAAAATTACATACTATTTAATAATTGAACAATAATAATATAAAAATTTGAACTAAGTATTATAAAAGTTAATATAAAAACTTAATCCAAAAATTTTGAACCCCTAACATTTTTTCCGTGTGTAAATTTAAATTTTCATTTTGAAAACATAGGAAAAGAGGTTAAAACTTGTCATAAATTGGTAATACTGAAAAATAAGCAAGTTAACAAACTAAGAGAAAATAAAATGATAAGATAAAACCAATCAATAATAATAATAATGAAACAAAGTAGTTAATATCATGACAAAATGAAGAATCTGAAAAAAAATGGGTGGGAAAAGAGAGGAGGTTTAGGAGAAGACAATTTTAAATGAATAAATTGGGTTTGATGGGTTATCTAATAATACTTATTATATCAAAATGCAAAAACCTAAGATACCCATATCCATCTATTCATGAGCAGATATGAGTAAATTTAATTATATGGGTTTGTTTGCCACCTATACACTAACCTAGCTTAACCAGTAACTGCCAAAGAGGTTTTTTGCTAAGAAGCTTGTGGGATCACTTGCAAGATGCTTGGATAGCTTCGAGTAGATTCAAAGAACTTAGCTCATTGCCTAGCAACTATAAAAAAGGTACCATTCTAACTCCTCGTGGCATGGAGCCTAATCAAAGGAATATCAACTTAACGAAATTAAAAATTTTTCAAAATTTTTCACTGTGAATAAATACTTGATTCCTTACGGTGCAGTGATTGAGTAGACATTATATTCACAAATATGAGTGACAAACTTGTCGAAAGGGGATGATGACACTCCTAAATCCTTGTTTTATTTCTCTAATTTCTCAGTTCTAAATTCAGAGTTGTTTTTCTCCTTATTAGTAGATTCTTCCCTTTCCCCATCACTACTTTCCATTTCCAACAGTTTTAGTTTCCATTTTGAATCTTTCACTACAAGTTTACTTGTTGATGCCTTTGTACTCTTTAGGGCAAAAAATCACAACAGCTGTTAAATTATCGTTCACATCAATTTTCAACCATCAAACAATTTTCATCACAAATTAGCAACTAAATTAACTAATAAGCACACCTGTGGTGATTTCATTGATTATTACTCTTATTCTATAAAATAATTAATACCGTATATTGACCAAAAAAAATACCCGTGGTGGACAAATACACCCTTGCATTTTTTACATGTGTTCTGATTATTTTGCAGATTAAAAGCAACAATCGATGAAATAACCACAAGTGCATTGGTTAATGAGTTCAGTGGCTAATTTGTGACGAAAAATTGTTTGATAGTCAAAAGTCGATATGAACAATAGTTTAATGCCTTAGAATCCCTTTACTCTTTATTTCCACTTTCCATCCTTCACCTTTCTTAGAATCCCTCATCATTGTTAGGTTGACCTTGTCCAGAACATAATTTTTGTCAAAAGGCTCAATGATCTCACTAGCAACTGTGGGGGCATTGACGTAATTGAATATAAATTTGTCTCACTTAAATAAAGTCTTTTTTGCTTTAGTGTTGATTATATAAAATATGTTTACATAAACATGTCTCACTTTAGCTGTTAAAGCATAAATTTTTCTTCCAGTTTTGTCAACATTTTTACGAAATGGGACAGATTTATGAATCGTAGTTGAAATCACACACACACATACACACACACACACACACACACACACACATATATATATATATAATAAAGTCATATTCTTATTCTTATCATGGAGCTTATCTCTCTCTTTTCATAAACATGAAATCAATTATCTGTCTAAATTTAATTTCAAATATAAAACCGTTCTTATCATCCATGTATGACTTATAAAACCATCTTTATAACCGTCCTAAGCATTTTGTCTTATATTTGCGGCAGATTATCATTCTATCATAATCATATATTTGCGGCCGCTTGCTTCTCTTTTGGTTTGTGAACTTCTAGGTATAACAAGGTATGACCCGTATGATTTCTTTAACATGCACGCTTTTAGTAAAACTATTTTTTATTATCTTTTTATATTCTTATCAAGATCTTTTTATATCCTTATCAATTCTTATTTCCTATCCAAAGTTAAATACTTTAAGCAACTTAATTTAACATAAAACTACTTTTAATATTCCTATCAATATCTCTTTATATCCTTATCAATATCTCTTTATATCCTTATCAATTCTTATTTCCTACCCAAAGTTACGTACTTTAAGCAACTTAAATTAAGACAAAACAACTTTTAATATTCTTATGAATATCTCTTTATATGCTTATCAATTCTTATGCCTACATATAGCCTCTAATAAACGAATTTCGAGCATCAAATTCATGGTTAGGTGTTTCCAGTGCAAGCAGTTGGCACATTAAAGCATCGATTTTGGGTTTCCACTCCTCTTGATTATCAGGTATACTTTCTTTGATATACATTTTTCTTTTTTAAAAAGACATGTTCATATTCAATTGTAAGCATTTAGTAACATATCTTGAATTTTATGTGTTTTGGTTTTATTTTCTATTTGTTTTATATGAAGAGATAGGATTTAAACAAGTATTTTTATCGTAAGTTTTCATATACATTAAGTTTGTATTTAAGAAAGATTATAATAAAATATACATTAAGTTTGTATTTCATATCGATATTTTTATAAAATTGGATAAATAACTTATTATTTTTTTACGATTCCCGTTCAACGAACGGGTACAAAATTAGTTTGAGTATAATTGAGAGATGGAAACCAAAATGAACTCTTAGACCGATTCAAACTGGTGGTATTATGGGAATCGAGTCGGCCAAGTTCGGTTTGCTAACGGTAGCTTGCGTGTAGGTTTGGCTGCAAATTGGATTGGGTGAGCTCAAATATGGGCAATAAATAGGTCCAATTATTCGTTTAAAATAGTTCAAATACATGAGCATATGTGAATTTTACTAGCAGATGTTTAATTCCTGCTGGCCCATTTATGGTATAGGGGTTTGTTCGTGATGGCCCATTTATTGTTTATTAGACTAGCATAAACATAATAAAGTCGTGGGGCCCTGTTTCGAAGACCACGAGATTCGTCCAAGGTTCGGCTATCCTTCCTCTAAGATTCTGCAATAAATCCTTAAATAGTTTATTGGGCGTTATTGTTTTTTAATAAAATTAATTCCTCTTAATATGTTGTATTGTATGTCTAACAACTTTTTCGATAGTCATATTCTTGTTTTCTTTGAAGGCACTCATTGCATTTAAATTTCGCATTATTATTTATTTATTTATTGGGTGAAGTAAGTGACCTCGGCATTTAAAATTTGTCTTTTTATTACTTATTAACATCTTTTTTCAGTTAATCTTTTTGAATGGAATAAAATTTTCATTTCACTGAAACTTGTCTGTGTGTTCTTTTTAAATGCAAGTGGAAAGACTTAAATTCGGAATTTTTTTACTTATATTCCTTTTCCTGAATCACTTAACCTATCTCTTTCCCTTATCCTATAGTTTTTATAATATTCCATAGGATGTTATGAATAACTATTTGAAAAAAGATAGAAAATAGAAACATATGCAAGGAATTCTTAGTAATCTATGAACAATGAGGGAATCCAGAAAAAAGGAAAAGAAAAGTCAGGGAAAAGGGGACCATGGACAAGGTAAGAGTGTTCATTTAAAAAAAAAGACTCCATAACTGCTATTACTTATAACTAGCATTAAGACATACAGTAAAATGTACCTTAAAAAAGACGACTTTACAGTAAAATGTTATAATATTTTTCATCGAAACAAAATACATTTGAATTGCAGTAAGTTTAAAATAATTTGTTCACGAAATACAAGGCTACGAAGAAAAGAATGATAGAAAAAATTTTCATCCACGATACATGGACTTCACTAATAAGTTCTCTCTCCAATAATAAATCAATGACTCCATTACACGATATATTTTGTGGAAATAAATAGTGAGAAAACATATGAATGGACATAATTATTTTTGTTTTGTGCAAATAAAATTGCATGAAACATAGTAATTAAAATGAATCACAACTGAGGGAAAAAAAAAAGAATGTGAAATGAAAAAAAAAGTAGCCCTTTGATTGAAATTAAACCATCATGTCAACGGCTGCAATCAAACATTCACCGCCTCGCAGAGGAACATAAGCGACAGTGCGGACGAGTCGCCGATTCTTCCACTCCCGCCACCCCCGCCGGCGCTAAGCAGCACCCTCTCATAATAATCTACGCAGAACAAAGACAAGGAAAGCTCCACCTCCTGTCGAGTCCAGACTCGCCTGACCAGGTCCGAGTCCGACTCACAACCACCCGCTCCGCTGCCTTTTAGTACTTTCATTCTTCTGAACTTCCCAAAAAGTCTGTTTAGAACGGGCCTCACGCAGACCATGTACAGCCTCTTGTACCCTCCCAGCGCAACCACCATCTTCTTGACTGCCTCCGGCGGGGGCGAAAAGTGGCGGAAGCACAGGTGCTCCCACAGCGAGTCATTCCTTGTTATAGCACGCCATAGCCGGCAAACACACGCAGCTACGCCTAGTGACCGGCCATCAGCTCTCTTCAGTATCTCAATGAGGACATCCATGTTATCATTGATGCACAACTTGGGTTTCTTGCTCACTTCATCTTCGAAAATAGATCCCGTTTCCATCTCATCTTTTTCATGTAGTTGCACCATTTTTACTTTTCTCTTTTGAAGCAAAAAAGGATAAAGACTAATGGGTTTTTTTCTGCAGAGAATTTGGTTAGAAATGATGAAAAAAGTTTGGAGAGAAATAATGAGTATTTGTAGGTGTAGTAGCTGGAGGGGTTAAGTCTGAAACTATTTGTCTACACTCAATCTCAAGATTACCTTATAAACCAGGTAGCTCAGGAGTCAAGTGGATTTTTGTTTTTTTTTTTCCTCCTTTCTATCGTCACCGTTCATTTTTTCTTACGTAACTCTTGAATTTACCATATGATTTATAAGTAGCTTTGTAGATTGGCAGTACCTAAGTATTTTTCGTTTTGACTTAGTCTCTTGTGGTGTGTGGGAAAGAGGAAAAAGAGAGTATCGAGGGAAGAAGAAGGTGCCAAACGAGAAGCGCCAAAGAGAAGAAATTGAACCAGAGGCTTTGCATTAATAGTTTAGTGGTTTTTTTTGGGTGAAGTAAAAATGTTGTTTGTTTTATTTGTTGTTTGCATACTTCTATGCATGAGGGTTTAAGACTTTGAGATTGAGGTCGGTTGTGACTTCTGATTGTGAAAGTCATATATGAACGTTGAGGCATCGTACTTGGTGGAACTTTTTTTTTTGGGTGGCTGTTATTTGATTATTGGTGTAGAAATTCTTCTATATTACTACAGCTTGCACTTATCAATTATAATTCTTACTATCAGAATTCCAATTCTAGACAAATTGATCCTTAAACATTAAGTTTTGTCCCACTTTGACCTTTTTGATGAACGTGTTTGAAAAATTGGCAAATTTTAGGCAAATTGATGACCTTTTTGAACGCATGTGGTGCATGATTGGTCAACTTGTCAATATTCACTTCCGTCTCAATAATTTAGTCAATGAACTTTTTTAAAATAGTGATTTGATTGTGATATCTGTACTTTTCTTTCTAATTTTATCTCAATAAATTCAAATTTTAAATTTGAATAGTAACATGTATATGATTAGAAAGAAGGGTTATATTGTAAAGAGAGATTAAAAGGTGCTTTGACTTTTTCAATTGGGACATCTCAAATGAAAAGTATGGCACTTTCAATGGGACGGAGGGATAATTTCTTATGCTTTGCACCACTAAATTCCAACATTTGGACTAGCATTACATATTTTTCTTACAATCTAGTGTTATATATATTTTTGCTTGGTCTTTGATAAAACTTATCACTATGAAACTAACAAAATTATGTTTTAGTTTTAAAATTTATGCTTACAATAATTAAGTAACACAAGGGCCCCATTTGATAAGTGAATTTTTTTGGATATTTGTCCAATATTTTACTGTAACTTACTATATAATTTGAAGAAAACATTTTGAGGTGTGTAAAAATCTTTCTTTAATTTTTTTTCTTTTTCTCTTTCCTTCCTTTCCTCTTCTTCTTCCCACCCAACTACAATTTTCTTCTCCTCCACCCAACTACAATTTTCTTTTTTTTTTCTTTTTCTCTTTCCTTCCTTTCCTCTTCTTCTTCGCCACCCAACTACAATTTTCTTCTCTCTCTCTCTCTCTCTCTCTCCTTCCCTTCTCCTACTTCCTCTCCCCCTCTTTCTCCCCACCCCACTACAATCTTTTTCTCCCTCCCTGC